AGCGTACCTCATAAATTATTATGAGAACTCATAAGAGTTATTTTGGCTTTTAGTCTACATAAATAGGAAATTCCATCTAAATAAGTAAAAATAGTCAGAACACAGAAAAAATTTGTTAAAGAGAAATACAACTTGTAAATAATGTAAAAAAGTTGTATCTAGAGGATGAAATCCATTAACTAACTGCAGTAAAAACATGATAAAACATGTTACTTCGCTCTTTGGGAATTCGAATAACTCAGCCGATAAAATTTAGAATTTGCTTCACTTATCTAAGTTTTCTATCTTGCCTTCTGCATAACAAAAAAGACGTATCTGTCCTTCAAATTTTTAAAAGTAAAAAATGCAATAATTCAATTATTTTAAAATTAAGTTAATAAAATTAATAAATAATAAGTGTCATGAAGTTATGATTATTGTCTAATTCGTTTAATTCACCTACTGGATATTTTTCGAGGCTCTCTTTTGGTTGGTTTTTCGCCACTTCTTCCTTCCTCCCTTCTGTACGCTGCCTTGATCTCTATCCCTATCTGGATGTCTTCCTTTCTGACTTTTATTTTATAATTTCCTTGTTTATGACACACAAATATAATGTTATTTTCATATGTTTTCCTAGATGGAAGTTTTAAGAATAAATTCTGATTCTACTGATGGCCACACTGCCCAGGTCGCGACGGTTAGTCGCACTAGTTCACCTCCTCTTATTGAGCCCATTTACCCGCCAGTTGTTGCACAATATTGGTGTCACACACAGGTACGCCAACCATGTGGTCTACGTATTTGTCGTTATATGTTGTTCACATAAGCTTATTCCTATTTCTTTGTTGCAGGTTCGGGTGACAAAGATGAAGTACATTTGGACTATAAGCAACTTTAGCTTTTGCCAAGAGGAGATGGGTGAAGTGGTGAAGAGTTCCATTTTTTCTGCTGGTCCACATGATCGCCTAAACTGGTGTCTTCGTATAAATCCTAAGGGCCTCGATGACGAAAGCCGTGATTATCTTTCACTTTACCTTCTTTTGGTGAATTGTGGGACGAAAGCCGAAGCAAAAGCAAAATTCAAGTTTTCTATTTTGAATGCTAGAAGAGAGGAGACGAAGGCCATGGGTACTCAGTAAATGTTTATTAATTTTTATTAGAGAGTCAACGTGCCTATCGTTTTATACAAGGAAAAGACTGGGGTTTTAAAAAATTCATACGTCGTGACCTTTTAATGGATGAGAATAGCGGACTTTTGCCAAATGACAGATTAACAATAGTTTGTGAGGTACAAGCCTAACTTCTCATATGACTATAATTTATTATATTTATGCATACTATTTGATATTTTAACCATCGGAGTATGTTAACATATCTTAGGTTTCTGTTGCGGGT